AAAAAAAAAAAAAAAGAGAGAGAGAGAGAAAGTAGTTTGTGAGATCAAATTTGAATGTAAATTCATTGTAACAGCATGCATAGCTTGCTCGTAGTGTATATGATTTTGTGCTAAATATCGACGAATTTGGAACAACACTTGATGGAGCCCATGTAGATATCAATCTCAATCAAATTATCCTCCTCATTCATTAATTTGCAGCACCTGCTGCTGCTGAGATCATCATCTAAAAACATGTCTTTTTCAGGCAGCACAGAGTGGCCACTGGGGATTGCGATCTCGATCAGTCCTTCCTCATCCGAGATCGAGCCTTGGTCCTCCTCCGAGCAGTCGAGCCTCTCCAACTGTTCCGAGAACTTGTCGTTTTCATCGCCTGTCGACTTTTCCTGTGCCTTAGTATCGTCGTCTAGAGATGCTGCGGCAGTAAGGGTGTTTTCGGAATCATTTTCGGCTGGTGCTCGTTTTGAGGATATGAAGAGAAAGGGAGCAACTGAAAGCAGCAGGATGAAAAGCAGAGATATGCTCATGATTGGAAACGAAAACGTTGCGAATAAGACTGCAAGTATGGGTAAAAGAAGCGCTAGATGGGTTTTTGAGACGACAGCCAGAAAACGAGGACAAAAGACCATTTTTTTTTTCTGCTGTTCCTCTTTTCTTTTCTTTTTTTTGTTTGGAGAAAATGAGGTTATTGTGGATGGATACAGTTAAGCAGGTAGGTGTTCTTGGCTGGGAAAAAAAAGGTATAGGGGCTGACTAGAAATTATATCACTTGTTTTTCTTTATTTTGTATATGTGAAATATTACATATAAAAAGGAAAGTAGAGTTTACTGGAAAAGAGGGACGATATATATATATATATCAGATGATGGCCATTTTAATAGAGTGGACTTCACTTGGGGAAAAAAAGTGGTGTTGAAAGATAAAAGGCAAAAAATAGATGAAATGTAAATGAAGCTCAAGAAGTAGTGGAAATGTAATTAAATAGAGAGTATATATGTAATGTATGAAGAGAGGAGAGGACAGGACAGGTGTAGATGAACTGGTTTATTATTGGTATTACCAAAAAGGGTCTCTTAAAAGTTGTTGTTGTTTTTTTTTTATTATTTAGTTTGATTGTTTTAAAACTAAGGAAATAATGGTACTATAGTTTTTGCTTCAAACTAATAATAAGATTCACCATTCCCAACCTCATTTTTCTGCACACTGTTGTTGTTAGTGCAAGAAAAACAAAACAGACCAATTTGTTTGTGTACATATATATATATATATATATACGAATTCTATGTGGTCCGTCCTCACTCTGCAACTGATTCTGATTAAAATCATGGGAATGAGAGATTTGGGCATGTGCCTTCAACCCTTCACATGCCCCTTTTTCCCTCCTTAAAAATCACCAAATCCTCCCAAAGGAAATTGAAATTTAGATTAAAATACACAAACGGGCGGGATAAAAGAAAATTTTGCCGAATGTAGTAGATTATTGTGGAGTATGTATGTAGACGACGACTTTCTGGAGTGTGTTCCTCGTTTTTTTTTTTGAGCTTGGAATTTCTTAGGTCAACTATTAAAAAGTAAAAACCCATGTTGAAGAGTGGGGTGTATTTCAAGTATGTACCTTTTTTTATTTATTTTAATAACTATTTTGTATGAAGGATCAAATACAAGCTTTTGTAATGTTTACAACAAGCTGTAAATTTAATACCAAAATGCATCAATTAATTAACTACGTTCCAACGGTTGGCTTCTGGAGAAGTCGAAAGAAATTTACAAATTGTGGACATTTTCTTTCGATAAGATATTTGCTAAAACCAGGGGAAAATTCATCTGGTGAAGCCAACATTTGATCACATTCTCATTCCCCATAAGGAAGGATTAGAGAGTGATGATGAAATTCCAAAAAAAGTGTAGTGAATATCATCATGTTAATGAGCAAGGGAGAAGCAAAGCCCGATATTCAGAGTTACCTAAGAAGCTATGCACAATGCCCAAAATGGTCCCCAATCAATACCAAGTGGTTCAACATTTGTTGTCAAGTTACATACATATATACATATATATGCTTAATTTGGAATGTTTATGGATCTATTCACCACCCAACTAGTATTTAATTACTTGTATCAAGATCATGGATTTTGAAGATAACGAGGTGATATGGTCCGAGATCGGTGGCTTTGGACTTGCGGAAGGTTCTTCTCGGTTATGATGTTGGTTCGCTTGATTCGGTCCGGTCCGAGCTTCAGTGTTCTCCGGTACCTGAAAGCGCGCCGGAATTTCTCCGGCACAAGCCCTCCGACGCCCAAGTTAGGATCTCAGAGTTTTAGAGAGAGAATTCAATGTAATAAATGTGGTATTAATGATATTAAATGAGATCTTACCCCTATACCTGTGACACATAACGCATATATATAGTACTTAGTTGTACGGACTCCCTCTAAGCCAATAAGTCCCCGGCTATCTATCGACCAAATGTGATTCAGTCGATGTCGGGCTATATGGGTCGACACTCAATCCCTTTCGCCCTTTACTGCGTGACTGCCCCTGGACTCGACCTGCTCGACCACTTGAGTCGGTCGAGCCTCCATCGGCCCGCTCCCGTGTTCGACCATTATTGTGGGTCGAACATATCGACCAAGGGTCGATCGTGCTTCGCGCATGTTCGACCATTATACATTTAGGCCATTAAAACATTAGACCAGTAGACCGGTGGACCAATAGACCATTAGACCAGTAGACCATTGGACCAGTAGACCCTTAGACCAGTAGACCAGTGGACCAATAAACCAGTAGACCAGTGGACCAATAGACCATTGGAGTAGACCCTTAGACCAGTAGACCAGTGGACCAATAGACCATTGGACCAGTAGGTAAAGTCTAATGACCGAGTAGGCAAGTAGGCTTTCTTGTCCTCCATCTCACGGGTCTTTGTCCGGTTAGGCCGAGTCGGTATTATAATCCCTATCACGAGGGAACAAGGTTTTAGTTTTACCTTAGGATTTACATATGATTGATGATTTGGCTTTGGGAATACTTTCCTTCAACAGATTTAGTCAAAGGAAAAAAAGGAAACGAACAAGGTTTGTGTGAGGAGATCAAATCAAAAGCCATTTTTTCACGGTAATTCTTCTACTGGGCTGGGCTGCCTAATGGTTGAACAGTCGTACATACTTTTTCGCAGATGTACATACATACCTTCACGCTCAAATGTCAATCTTTAAGATACAATTGTAAACAAAAGTATGGTAATCTATAGGAGAAGTATGATTGCCTTATAATAGTTAGACAGCCTAACAGTAGCAATATTTGTCCATATTTTAAGTGCGTTTATGTTCAATGAAGACTTTAACAACCTTCTTTTTCGACAACAAAATAATTAAAACCATCAAGCATTTTTGCTGATAATATGTTATAAGCAGGTCAGCACGACACTCTTTCAACAGATTCAGTGTCTCTATTATTTCTGTAGAGACCATCATCATTTTCTCATTCAAAACAGGGCGTATGTATAAATCATAGTGTAAGGACCATATCCAACATGAGAGTAATCGACACAATTTAAAATTGACAAGAAATGAAACCATCATAATTTAGCATAAGAGATATATATATTATAGTAGTAGAGCCTGCCGCCTGCAGTTGTGAATTAATTAATAATAATGTTTGGGAGATAGATAGATATGATGATCATCTCATCTCATATCATCTCATCTCACAGGAACCTTAATCCAACCATTTGCGAAAGCGATTGCTAAGATGACAAAAGGTGTTGACATACCAAATATGATTATGTAAGGAAGAGGGGTTTTCATAGGATTTTCCCCTTGTCTTTCACCTGCTGTTTGCCAGTACCTGCAATGCACCCATTTTATTCATTTCCACATGAACATCAACATTCTTTTACTGATGAGACGAATGAATCTTTTAGCTAAACCCTAAATCCAAAGACAAACTAGTAGTGTCCAAGTGCAATTGCACAAATGCACACATATATATATATATACTAACTAACTAACTGTTGAGGTTCTTCATCTTTGGTGATGAACTTCTTCTTCTTGCCTCCTTTCTTCAGCTCTCCATCTCCTCCCCCTAAAAATAAATAAATAAATAAATAAATCTGAATTCAAATATATATTGAAAAAGTAGGAATTTTTTTGGATAAAAAAAAAAAAAAAGAATCATCATATTTTATTGGCAGACCTAAATTGGCAGAAATAGTGAGTAAATCTCGTTTCCTTGATTTCATGGTCGTCGTGGTGCTGCTAATTAGGGGTAGGGGGTGTTGGAAAGGGAAATTAGAAAATGGTTTATAATTTGTGGGTAATAATTTAAAACATGGGTTGAGCCCTGCTGATATTATTATTAATAAG